AGAAGTAAAGGTCTTATCACTTTACGTTTTGCCGTAAGCGTGCCCTAGGACCGATTTTCCCGTTCTTCATTACCAACCTACATGCAAGAACTTCCAATGTGTCTGCCAAATTTGAGGCTAACAGCTTAATTTTTTCGGCCAAGAGAATGTTTACAACAGACATTACAACGGACAAACGGGCAGACGGACATGCTTAAATCGATTGGGAATTCGATGCTGATCAAGAATATATATACTTTGTGGAGTCTCTGAAGCTTCCTTCTCTGCGTTGCAAATGTTTTGACAAAACAAATATACCCCTCATCCGTCGCAGATGGATATAAAAAATTATAATCGATATCGACAATCTTAGTGCGATTGAAGTAGGTTTTCGCGCAAATCACATGAATGAAATTCAAAATGACTTTTTAAGAATTTCAAAATTCATTTTTCTGTATTCATATTATGGATACGCTCATGCACAAGCATCGTGATACATTGAATATTGCTGATAATTTTGTTGAAAGGGCATAAGCCAATGCTAAGTAGAAGTAGATGACACTTCCTGAACAATGCGTGACATTAGTGTAATTACTCCAACTTAAATATTTATACATTGTGCAAACGAGTAATGGATGTTTTCTTCGTCGTCAAAGTGTGCTCTACTGCCTTGAATAATTGCTTCAAACCTTCTTACTTTATCAAAAGGTGTCAGATATTAAATTCGGAGATCTAAGATTAAGAATTCATATATAGTCGAATAGTCCTTTTTGTGGTACCTTTTTTTATTCTAGTACCAGTCGGAAGACACATCTAGAGTACCACGTACACTGCAAGACCTCTGTCTGGGTTTTTGCTCATTACCCATCATTTATAGCAGACAAGCGTATCAGAATTTGCACGTATATTTTATGTGCTATGCTGTAGTACTTATGCAAAATGAGAAAATTTACCACGCCTACTAAATATAATGTAGTGTATCAAAATTGAATTTTTTTTCAATACCTTTATAACGCGCAGAAGCAAGATTTAAAAATCCCGTAAACTGTATAAATTCCTTGCCAGTTTCAGGTTTGAAATGCACCTCCGTTGCATGTCCGTTTGCTAAACCATATACTATGTGTGTCACACATTCTCTTGTTCGGAGAAAGGAACATAAGAAAATTTAAAAAAAAAATTTTGAAAATGACCAAAGCAAGTCAAAGAACACGCCTACAATTCCCACATGCCTATACAATGAAAACTGAGGACAGCTTTGCTTTCAGTGTCTATAAACTAAGACAGATACGCGATATAAATTTCCGAAAAAGTCCACCAATCTAATATTTTTCCTTATTTTCAATCTTTTACACGACAACGATGATGGATATGAAAAATTCGGTCGCAACCGAATGTAATTTTCTTACTTGCTTAATATTCAAACAAATGGATGTTTTCCATTTAAAGCCTTACAGAGATGATAAGAAAGCAATGTTTGTAAACGAAATAAATCGAAAGCAGTTTAATGGAAAAAATTTGATACAAGCGCGCTTAACACCATTTTAAGGAAAAATTCTTTTTTTTTTTTTTTTTTTTTTTCCCCGTTATTATTTTCTTCATACATTATATCTTCAAATTGTCATATAACTTAATTTAAATCATAATTAAAAAGTAAATTTATAGCGGTATTCTGAGTAAGATCACAGAGACGTCATAAGTTTTTTTTATGCCTTTCGTGGCTGTTAAAAACCCCATTTTATGTATATAACAAAATTGAAATTGGAGAGTTTTATTGGAATACAATATTTAATATAAAATTAGAAACGCTAGGATACACATTGTCTTCTCTTATTCTCAAACTAATGTGATCATTGGAGTTGCTCGTCGAGAGTATTGCCTACTCGACCATTCAGGCGGATTGACTGCGAATAACTTGCTTAGATTTTATGAAATTAAATTTAAGAAAGTTCAAGAAGCTTTCTTTTTTAAGAGGGAAATCATCCAATACTGAATATTGCATTGATTCACACAGGTTGGAAAATGCAGCTTCGTTCATCGATTTAGTGGTTTTATTCTACCAAAGCTTACGTTTTAGTTTGCACATTGAACTCTCTTTAAGTAAAGCTAGGTCCGCGCTAAGTTTCGTTATGAGGGCAGTCCAAAGAGCTCAAGGATGCTTACATTACAAAAAAGCTATACATGTGTTTAATTACACTAATACTTGAGTATGCCTATATTGTGTGGTCTCCTTCCTATGGTCTCGCATACATTATTTGATGAGATAATAAGCTTTAATATCCTCAATCGCTTCTCTAGACACTTTATTTTCATTAAGCTTAGCCAGAGTAAATGTAATTATGAGCTGTTTAATCCGCTTAGACTTGTTTACAGAAACCTAACTGATGTCTATCATTTAATCTCAGCATCGGACTCTTTGAAGTCTATCAAAACAACTAGACTTAGTACGCGCGATTTGCCTATGCAATCTGAATATCTCACCATGATTCGAAAATTACCTGGTTTCGTTTACTGTTATCGGTTGCAAAGCTTTTGAATATTTGCAATGGCTTAGAGGATCACTCGCAACTTGGTTCTGTACTGGTTGTCGGCGTGCCTCTCTGCTAGTTGTGTACATGCTTTTTTCTTTTGTTCGTTGTTATGTATTTGTACATGAATTATTATTTAAATTTCTTCTTTCTTTACATCTCCTTATATATATACTTTATACTGATTTTTAATAATAATCAGTATAAGATTTACTTCTAACAGTCAATTGAATTCGGCTGTTAATTCAATTTACCTGAGTTTCATCTGTAAGTAAATAAATAAAGTAAATAAACATAGACACTTTAATATCCCTAATGGCATTGATGGCGTTATTATTCGTTTGTTTTGCTCGTCTAATGTATACCTAGATAAGTTTGGTTTGTCATTGACTTGGAAAGTTAAAGGAACGAGTTCGCAGAAAATTTTCTCCTCCGTTATACTTTTGAACAGTATTTGAAGAGAGGCAAACCATGAAGAAGTGATTCGGGGCCGAATGCAGCAAAGTACTTGCAAGGGACCCTGATAATGAAGCAGAGTTAATTAATTTGAACCGTATTGTACCTCTAAAAACGACTTGCTGCTATTGTTCTACAGCGCGCGATGAGTTTTGAACTTGATTTTATACTCGGAATTTGAGATTTTTAACCACCGTAATTCGATTGGGTTGTACACTCGTCGATGCGATTGCTACTTTTTTCGTTTCTTTAATTTGCAGCGATCTGTTTCAGTTTTATCAATTTTGTTTTCCAAGCTCTCTTTTACCAGATTTTTTAATAAATTTTCGATAGGGGAACTACCGAATACCAAATTAGATCGCAACTGTAAGTCAATGGCAAATCCGCTGAGAACGACACTCACTCATGCTATTTAAAAATTTCATAAAGTCGCCTGGCTTATGTATGATTGCAAGCGGGAAAACCTGGCTTTTATATCCTACACCACTAGTGATACAGTGGTATATTAAGTTAGTGTGGATATATGCAACACCTAGAAGGGTACGAAATAGAGAGCCAGCTCTGGTGTTCACTCAGAGTCACTTCAGGATCACTTTTTGAATCGATCTAAGCTTGTTTGTCCGTCTATCCATCTTTCTTTCTTTTTTTTTTGTTCAATATGCAGGCTGCAGTTGTTGAGATTTTTTTGATCAGATTTCGTACGCTAGGGAGTTTTGATCCAACGACGAGCGCTATTGAAAGTGTTCGGATCGGATCACGGCCCAATGGTGTCACGGCTATACTGTTTTTAGTTGTTATTTGCTTCAAATAATCGATGTAGTCACCTTCCTATCTCTTTTTGTTTCCTTACTTCTTTCTAAAAAAAGTAGATAATTTAGGAGGTAAGTGATTGATCATTAATTCTGGAAAAACAAAATCGAAGACATTATTGCATACTTTGTTTGTGCTAATAGGTTACGTACAACCATTTAATTTTAAGCTGGAGCCTTATTGCCTCATCCTTGCTATCGTTTTGATCCTCTAATCTATTCTGAAAGGATTTGGGAGCAAAAGAAAACGACTTTAAGAGAAAAAACTACTTTAACTTTATTTTAGAGAGATTGGCTTACTTGCCAATATTTATCTAATGGTAGATAATCGAATAAATAGAAGAATAGAAGGTGGGATAATGTAATTAGTAATTATAAAATATAACATTAGTAGTAATATACGAGAGAGAGGTAATTGTTCAAGAAGTGTCATAACGAAAGCATTAACCACCAGCGATCGATACGCGGTACATTTCTACTAATATTAACTGCCTACAATAATTGTGTAACGTAGGGCATTTGCAAAATGCATTGAAATTATATTTTAACTTATTTCGTTTTTTTGGAATTTTTTTTCGTTTTTATGATAAAACAAAAAAAAAAAAAAAAAAAACTCACATTGCTTTGCGTTTACATAGAGAATAATTTACTGACTGCGAGAATATTTCTTGGAAAAATCGTCAAATACTTTTTTGTTTACCTAACATGTAAAAATAACTGATTATTACGTGTGCATTCATTAATAAAATGAAAAGAAATACAAATAAATTGTATGTCATTAATAATCAATTGATAAAAATTCGTTTATACTTTTTTATTACACAAAAACAAATAACGCTGCTCGCATGTCCTACTTTGTTCCTGATATTCAGATGAATTTGGTAAATGAGTGAAAAGACTCTCTATATTAAGAATTTGCGTCGATTCATTTATAATTTTCTTTTCTTGTTCTAATCTCTCTTTCTCACTCATTGAATAGATTGCGAATTGTTTTTGCATATTCCATATGAAAGGAGTTACTTTGCAAATTAAGAGTTTTAAGCAAGCACCTTCATCGTTTACTTCTTCGTAATCATCTATCATATGAATAAGCTTGTCGGCCAATGATACATCAGTGGCGACACTAAGTAATTGTTTTAACTTTTTTGTAGGATTTTGCATTAAACGGTCGAACAGATTTTGTTCATAGTTTGAGTGAAATTGATGGTCATTTTGTTTATCATCTTCGGTTGAATTCTGATCATATGGTAAATGGACATTTAAAGAATTCGTCGAAGATTGAGAATTCGTCCTGAGTAGAACAGTTTTAGCAATCTGAAAACGTTATATAACAATTAATTTCTTTTCTTTCAATTTCAATTCCAATTTCAACTCTTTACTAACTGTTTGAGCAATGATAATTACTGTATTTACAGCTAAGGCTCCAAGTTTGCCAACATCAAAGTGCACTAAACGTAATATGCCAGCGGTTAGCTTTGACGTAATTAAACTCCAGCCTAGATTTGACGTTGCAGTCTTCTTAAACTGAGTCTCCCGTTCTTTACTCTCTTGTATTTCCTTATTGGTGTTAGCGGAAAAAGCTTTTACCACCAAATCTGCGACACCGGATGCCATTCTAACGCCTTAAATATATAATTCAATGCTAAAGGCCTATTAAATACACGATACTATAACACAATGCTCACCAAACATGTCACCAGCAAATTTTAAACCTTGATGCAAATTATCCGTCAATCCTGTGTTATCGAAGGCTTTTTGTTCATTCTTGCTGAAGCGAAGAAAACTACAAATTATAGTTGAATAAAGTAAAGTTGGAAGCAGCCTCATTGTTGCAAGATCTACTGTGTATTAAGGAGGACAAGATTAACCGTAGCTAACTATTGTCATATTGTACTACAGGCAGCATTCAACTATTTGACACTTGAGTGCATTTCTTAGTTACGCTTCCACGATTTATTTAATTCGCACAGCAGACAATATCACAGCTTTATCGCTGCTTATTTCATTGAGTGCAACGCTAGAGATATATTTATAACTATTTATTCCCACTTCGCGCTCTAGATGTGATAATACATTAATACAAATTATAACGTCGGAAATCGTCTAGAAAATTTCGAATTTTTATCAGTAATTGGGAACTCCAACACAATACGTTCTCACATTCAGATGGGCTAACCAGAAAATAAGCATTTCCAAATTTCAACTTTCAAAATTAATTATTGCGACATACTTTTGCAGAAATACAAAAATTTTCCTTAACTTCGGATATAATTTCATATCGTTTTTATACCGAAGAATGAGGTGTATATTCATTCATAGTCAAAATGTTTGCAAACGGCCAGAAGAAGGCTTCAGAGACACACAAAGCGCACGTACTCTTGATCAGCATCAAACTCTAAATCGATTTAAATATGCCCGTCTGTCCGTCTATTGTAAACACTTTCCTCGTCGCAAAAATGAAGTTATCGGGTTAAAATTTTTGTAGAAACGTTGGAAATTTTTGCACATAGATTAGTATTGGAATTACGCCAAATTAGTCGAAGCACACGATCACAATGCAATATAACCTGAGAACATCTCTGTTTTCAAAAAGGAACAAAAAATTGCCTCTTGGCTTATTCCTCATAAACTGCAGCAGATAAATCTACAACATTTTCAACGTATATTCTATGAACACAAGTATACCTTTATAACGCGCAGAAACAAGTGTCAGAAACCCCACGAAGTATATAAATTTGTACTCACTTTCAAATTAGGAATGAACCTGCTCAACCACATTTGTGTAAACATTCTGTCATTAAGGGGAATGAGGACATCGGCTAGGAATTTTGGGAAAGAATTTGGTAGTGATTTAACCTTTTGAAAGGACACACTTAAAACGCTCACAAGCCTATGCGACAAAAGCTGAAGACTCGTTTGCTTTCCGTGGCTTGTGCTCGTTATTCATAAACTTACAATACAAAATTCCACTGTTATTTTAAATATCAAAAAAATAAGCCGCTTGCGTTATGAAACCAATGGACGTTGAAAATTTTGCGAAGAACTTTAAATGGAAACTTAGCAGAACTTTTATTTTGGAATTAGATGCTCCGAAGCCGCAGGTTCAGGTGGATTTAAGAACAAGTTTTCATGCCAGGAACTCGTTTTCCTACAAAATACTCCATTCGTGGAGACGGAACAAGAAATTGCATTCTATTTTTCTCTTTCTTTTTTATTGTCAGTATATTCTGGAACATAGTTTCTTAGCTACTTTCTTTTCCGATTCTATTGCATATTTATAAATTATATTGGCCATTCACGGCACTTGACTTCCATTTAGCATGCTGAAGGATGCTCATCACTTCTTCAATAATCATTAATTATTTCATCATCAATTCTTAAAATCACATTCTCGGTCAGGCTGTTTGCCATTAGACACCGAAAAGAGGCGCAGCTGATCTCTTTGACGCGTAGTTTGCATAGATTTTTTCAGTAAAATAGATTACGGTACTTACAATACAATGAAAGGCGCGAATTCCACGAAGACAGGATAGATTTAATGAAGATACTAATGTATGAGAGAAATCAAGAGGTTAATAGTTGGATGAATTTGACGATGTAACAATAAGTTTTAAAACACGCTACTCGATGCTAGATACCGTCTTCATCATATAATGGTATTTTATGCTCGCTTTATTAGATTAGTCATATATGCCAGTCGGTTTTATCAATGAATATAGGCGTAGGTATGTGGAGACACCGTTTGCCATTTGCTAGTAAAAATGTCTTCATTTTCAATGTGCGGTAGTAATCCGTTGATTTTTCAGAAATCAATATTTATCTCAAAACTGAGTATCATCATGAAATTATCAACAGTTAACATATAAGTTTTAAACGCAGCATCTCTTTAATTTCAATCGTGTCCATAGCTTTGTGCTTGACGCTGCTTCTGACAGGTGTTTGAAGTCTATTGCACTCACTGTTTCATTCTTTATCATTCTAATTAGTTTTTAAGGAGGCAGCGTATGAAACATGATTTATAAAATAATGACCTACGTCTTGTTATATTTGCCCGTGCAGTGAATTTTGAGTCTGTTTGCAGATCATTCTAAAGTAGCTGCAGATCATAGGGGCATTTTGGATGACAACGTTCATCGCATCATTTATTTATTTATTTATTTATTTAATAGAAGTAAATCTTATACTAATTATTATTAAAAATCAGTATAAAATATAAAAGGAGAAGTAAAGATAAAAGAAAAAATTTAAATAATAATTCATGTAGAAATACGTAGCAACGAGCAAAAGAAAAAAACATGTACCCAACTAGCGCAGAAGCATACCCGCAACAAGAACAGATCCAGTTGCAAGTGAACCCCTAAACCATTGCAAACATAACATGTATATGCTTGCCACAACACAATATTATTTTAAATAAAAAATGAGATATTAAGAAAGAAATGTTAGTTTAAATACGACATAAGTAATTCGCGCATATTAAGCAAACTTGTTTTAATAGACTTTGAAGAGTCTGATAATGAGAATAAGTAATAGACATCATTTAGGTTTCTGCAGACAACTTTGAGCGGGTTAAACACCCCAAAATTTCCAGTGACTAAGCTTCATCAAGATAAAGTGCCTAGAGAAGCGGTTAGGGACATTAAAGCTTATCTCACCAAGTACTGCTGGGCGAGTCAATAGAAGAGGAAAAATATACGATTTGATGGCAAAGGCCATATGCTGAGTCACAATTCGCTCGAACTGTTAGACAAGATACGCCACTTAGCAATGATTCTGTAGTTCTTTATAAGTTGTCTACCTCCACTTTTGTGAATAGGAGTAAGGAAAGCACCTAAATTCAAGGACTTGTTAAAAATCTTTAAGATAACACCGCATTACTCGGCAGCACTCGATATAAGTACACATGATAGAATTCCATCAGGTCCAGACGCATCATTATATTTTAGAGAGTCCAAACTTTCAAAAACGTAATTTTCAGAAATAACCAAATTAGAAATTGAAACCAAATCAGTAATCGGATATGGATAGTTTGCTGATAAATCGAAATTAGCAGTCGAAAAGTTTTGTCGGAAGTATTCCGTAAAGAAATTTGTTTCAATATCATCCGAGGAGACCTTTCTTTTGGAATTAACGAACTTGAAAAAGTATTTAGGATTAGCAAACAGAGAGCATTTAACAAACTAAATAATATTGGTGGTTGAAGTAATTAAATTTATGCGTTGCTACTGTGTAAGCGAAATAGTCGAAAGAATAACCACTTTTCGAAAATTTCTTGAAGAGCTTGTTTCTCCTATTCTTTTAAAATGTAGTCGTCTTATTAAACCACTGGGGACACATGCTTCGAGAATGCTACCAATACTTCCAACTGAGAAATCAAGCATAATATGTGAAAGATGTGATTTTAGCATTGAAACATTGATTTTATGGAAATCATAAAATTTATTTGAAAAAGTTGAATTTGGAACTTTACAGAAGTTCGACGTATCATCATGCTTGTAATGAAAGGAAATACCCAATGCTGGATGATAAGGATCCTCAGGTAAACTAAAAGGAAGACAACGATTAACACAAATCTTAGGGAAATTGGCAAAGCAAAGATCAAGCAGTCTACCATTGCAAGTTGGGCTACCGTTTTATTGAACTAAATTATGAACGAATAATTCGTTAAAGAATACAACAGCTCTATCAGATGTTGAAGTAGAAATCAAACATCCAGAACTATCACTGTAACACCAAGTGACTGGAGGTAAATTGAAGTCACCCAACCCAATGACTATATCGATAGATTTAGATTGCTTGGCCACTTCGCAAATAAGGGCAGCCTATTTCTTATATATGGAGATATCCGAATTTGGGGTAATATAGGAGCAAGTCACATGTAAGTGTTTATTAAGAAATTTCGCTCGAATAGCGATAAATTCAACGTCAGGAGTAGTGGGAAATTCAATTGAATAGGAAAATTGCCGCAGATATGGCAGTTAAAACACCACCACCATTGCGATACAATCGATCAGTTATGAAAACCTGAAACGAATTGTGCAAAAGTCTCGACGAATGTAGATCAGGGTTTAACAAAGTTTCAGTGAAGGCCAAACAGGAAAACTCTGTGCTCACCGAATTTAGGGAAGTAGAACGAATTTTTGAACCTAGGCCCCCAACATTTTGATCATTGATCGGGCGCCGCGCGCCTTCATTCGAACATGTTAACTAACCAGATGCGGGTGTTTTTGATAGTCGTGTTGAAGTGGGTATATAAAGAGAATGGGTTATGTTATTGGTACATGGTTGTTTTTAACGTATTACCTTTTTCTACATGTCACTCTGCCAATGAGTACCTATGTACTACGTATGTTCTGGACATTCATGCCACGTGGACGGTTCAAAATTGGCTGAAGCTTGTGTATGCATTCGGAGTCTTATAAAGTCATGTACTTTGGATTTAACATAGTGCTCGTAATTTATGGAATATGTTTATGATTTTTAACACAGTGACGTCTTTTTAGCCGAAGAAAGAAAACTTTTAAAGATAAATTGGATTGGATGATTTTTTTAATTGCTCACCATATAAAAAATTTACAATTTTTAATTTTTAAAATTGTTCGACAAAAATGTTGAGTAGAATTTTTTCGGCACGTAGAATGAAATGCTCGTGTAGAGCCCCCATCTACACAACCGTTCCTGTGAAAAATAAGCCGTTATATGACGAAAAGGCCTGATGATCTTTGATTGTAGTTTGCCATAAGACTTCAATGTACCACATTTAGATTAAATAGTTTAGGTCATATTGCAAATACTCCGCGCTTTTTTCCGCGGAATGGTATTGATGTGGGGCAACACTGACCTGATTACCTCAAACGGACATGTCTCAAAGGCAACTTCTCAGCTTACTTTTTTTGTGAAATTAGCTTTCTAATTCGTTCCTCGTATAAAAACTTATATCGATTTAAAAGTGTTTGGAATATCTGAAAAAATTCGCTAACTGATGATTATTTACATTATAAAAAAGGTAAAAATGCTGCGCGAAAACTTTTCAATATGACCCATTATTTTTATACCCATTAGCGAAGGATGAGCAATACATTCATTTTGTCAAAATGTTTCCAGCGCCGAGAAGGAAGCTTGGAAGCTTGGAAGCAAATTTTAAATCGATTTAAATATGTTCGTTTGTCCGTCTATTGAAAACATTTTCCTGGTCGCAAAAATGAAGCTATCGGGTTAAAATTTGACACAAACATTAGAAATTATTGCACGTAAGTTAGCATTGAAATTGCGCCAAATCAGTCAAAGGACACGATCACAGTACAATATAACCTGAGAACACCTCTGTTTTTAAAAAGCAACAAAAAATTGATTTTTTTCTTATTCCTCATAAACTAAAGTAAATAAATCTACAAAAACTTGAACGTGTATTGTATGACCGCTATGCTATAATACATGTGCAAAAATGGGAAAAATTGTCCACGCCTACCCAATGTAATAGTGTCAAAATTAAATTTTTTTTTCAACATCTTCACAACGTTTAAAAACGAGCTTTAAATATCCCATCAAATATATACGTTCTTGGCCAGTGTCAACTTTGGAATGCGCCTAAGCAAGTCCGTCTGGTTGTCTTTCCATCTATCTGTCTGCCCAACAGTGTATTATCTGTGGTAAACATTCTCTCTTTCGCAAAAATAGAGATATCGTCTACAAGTTTGCAAAAGAATTTGAAAATGATTTAAACACGCGTATGCAACTGTGAACATGTTTGCTTATTACTTATAAAGTAGAACACATACGCTGTATAAATCTCCATTTTTTTTCTGGATATAGAAATAATCAAAGTTAAGCCCAGGCAATATTATTTTTTTAGGATAAAGGTGATGAATATAGAAAATTCAGTCGCAACCGAATATAATTTTCTTACGGATTTCATGTAAGGAGTCACAAAATAAATAAGCCTCTATACGGCAGCAAATGAAATATTTGGTATTTTGTCACTCAAATTTAATTCAAGTATTAGGCGAAGTGATGGAGAACGGTTAGTGATTGCCCTTGTCTAACTATAACATTTTTACTTGTTTTATATCAAACTTTTGTAATGTGCAATTATTTGAGTTTGAAATTTTGTATGCTTGCGGATGAAATTTCTCATCTTACGTACTTTCGGTGCTCTAAACAACGATGAATAAAGAATTTCTAAGTTAAACTAAATGAGCTAGAACTGCCTAATATTTACATTTCCATTTTTTATTTTTATAGGTTTGTGGACATCAAAGAGTTCCCTCCGATTCGAAAGAATTTCTTGAAGTCACTAAGCGAGATGCGTTAAGGCTTTTGGAAAATGATTTAGATCGATTGCTGCTCTCAGCAATGCCAGAGAGACGAGCTTCGTTGCAACAGGAAATGGCTCGTTTTGTAGATTTATTTAGGCGGTTTCTACAAGAAGGTAAACTATTCTCTTTGGACTCAATCCGTATTCTTCTCATTGTATTCGTATTTGCAGAGGGTCCTTCAATTGATTGGGATAAGATACAAAAGTTACCAGAAAATGCAGTTATGGATTATAGCAAATTAAAATCTCCCAATACTGATAAAGTAAGACAGATTTTTTTTTTCAACACTATTCTCCCTACTAAATTTTTATAGCTAAAGGTAAAACCTCTTTAAGAAGCTATTTTCACGCGCATTTGATTAGAATACATTTGCGTTGATTTTTTATGGACGAATGCAACTTGACTAAGAGAAAATTAAAGCTATGTAGAAATTTTAAGAGCAACTAGATTAGTGTTACGTTAAATAAAATGTACTACCATTCTCTGAAACATTGGAAATAAATATTGTATACATAAGACATATTTCAAATATTTGACATATGATTTTTCATCTATCTAATATATCTTATATAGAAACACCTTGTCAACTTAGCCATGTCAATCCGCAAACGAATTCTGAAAACTTACCTAAAGTTTGTTATTCGTATAAAAATTCCATGAATCAAGATGTAAATATGTCAACAAGAGTTTAAAAAAAAAAAATTTCAAAACTACTTTCGTCCATCTACAAGTCATGTATAAGTGAATATTGACTTGAAACAGTACCTGAATTTTTATTAGAGTTATGTAAGATTAAAAATGAAATCTAATCAGATGGTACTAATTACTAGTTTGGTTGTCCAAAGTTCGCCCTGAGCTGAATAGGTTTCTTACGACTTTTAATAACTTCAAAATTTTCAGTTTTTCTAGGTTTGGCTTTAAGCTATGGTTATTAATTACACTGGAACAATTGTAAAATATCTAAATTATTAGTAATATATTCCTGTTCGACAAAAAAAAATTTACTTAACTCAAGTGCTATTTCGAACAAATTATTTTCGATTCCTCACTTTTTATAGGTGCAAATGATGCTCGATAAATTGGTGGTTGTAAAGCTTAATGGTGGTTTGGGTACATCGATGGGTTGCCACGGACCGAAAAGTGTGATACCAGTGCGGTCAGATCTTACATTTCTCGATTTGACCGTACAACAAATTGAGGTTAATCATTCAAAATGAAAAGTTAAAACTGAATTGAAGAAATTCTTTTTACGATACTCTTTTCTTTAGCACCTGAATAAAACCTACAATGCCAATGTACCGCTTGTACTAATGAATTCTTTCAACACAGACGAGGATACTGAAAAAATTATACGTAAATATAAAGGTTTTCGAGTGCAAATATATACGTTTAATCAAAGTTGTTTTCCTCGCATATGTCGCGAATCATTTTTGCCGATTGCGAAGGATTGTAACGTAGATAAGGACATTGAAGCGTATGTTTAATGATTTATTATCTATTTGTATATATATGTATATATAATAATTTCTGCTTACATGATTAGTTGGTATCCACCCGGTCATGGGGACTTTTACGACACCTTCCGTAATTCTGATTTGCTTAAGCAATTTATAGATGAAGGCCGTGAATATTGCTTTTTATCTAACATTGATAATCTTGGCGCTACTGTTGATCTGAATATTTTAAATAAATTAGTGGGTGAAGAGTGCTTAGACAAGCCCGTCGAATTTGTTATGGAAGTTACTGATAAGACCAGAGCTGATGTTAAGGTAGTTCTTGTTTCAATCTTTTTTTTTTTTTATTTAAATTAGCGCAAAAAATGCTATGCAGTAGTACTATGTTTTATACAACAATGTAAGGTTTTAGTGCTTTTCTTACCTTCCTTACAGAAACGCTTTCTATCACTTTTATGTTAAAAGGCCCGAAAGTGCACTCAAGAGTAATAAAAATATGCTTAGCGCCGCCCTAAGCATGCTTTGAGTTTTACAAAAAGGCAGCTATATGTGCAAGCAGGCTGAAAATAAATTCCGTAGTTAAATAATTAAAGCGCATCTAAGCAGATTATAAACACAAAGAATTTAAAAAATTTCGATAGGCCATTTCACACAAACGTTCGCATGGAAAGTACGCCTTTTTATGACGAAATTACCTAATAACGAAAATAGGTAAACAATACTGGAGTGGTTGATAAAAAAATTAATTTTGCCAAATTTCCATATAAAGACTTTAATATGGAAAAATTATCTAATTTATGGCTTCCTACCAGAAAATAAATCAAGAATAGTATTATATTCGGCAAATTCGTGTATGGCATCTCATGTCACCCTTACTTGACTATAACGCTTTGGTTGTTTTTTTATAGGAAATGTTATCAAAACACTTAATAGGGCAAGAAAGTGTACTCTCTGCATAATTTTTAAGTTTGATAATAATTTTTTATTGAATGTTTTTAATGCGATTGTGTAATTGATTTGATCTCTAAGTGTCGGTATTTTGACAATTTCAAAAATATAAAACCGAAAGTAGTGAGCTTTGCCTCGCTACCCAGTTCGCTCTCCTTATAAAAGGAAAATTAGGGAGCGTTATATTTGTAGCTATTTGGTACCAATGTGCGCGAAACTTAGTTTTTTGTTTATTCTTGAGATAACACTTTGAAATTGTTTTTCGACAGGGTGGCACACTTATCCAATTTGAGAATAAATTGCGTTTGCTTGAAATCGCTCAGGTCCCTAAAGAACGTGTTGATGAATTTAAGTCGGTAAAAACCTTCAAATTTTTCAACACCAATAACATATGGGCTAAATTGGATGGTAAGCTTTATAGTCTCTAAGATTTTTCTCAAATACAAAAATAAGATTGAATTTTTTTTGAAAGCCATCGATCGGGTTTGTCGTCATCATACCTTGAACATGGAAATCATTGTTAATAATAAAACGCTTGAAAATGGTTTGCGCGTAGTTCAATTGGAGACAGCTGTGGGCGCTGCCATGAAATGCTTCGACGGTTCTATTGGCATTAATGTTCCTCGCTCTCGCTTTTTGCCCGTGAAAAAGACGTCAGATTTGTTTCTCGTCATGTCGAATTTGTATAATTTGAAAAATGGAAGTTTGGTTATGTCGCCGCAACGTATGTTTCCTACCACTCCGCTCGTGAAATTGGGTGAAAATCATTTTGGAAAAGTCAAAGAATTCTTAGGGCGTTTTGCTAATATCCCGGATATCATTGAATTAGACCATTTGACCGTATCGGGTGATGTCACGTTCGGCCGTGGTGTATCACTCAGGGCAAGTTGTTTAAAAAGTCCTTTGATGATTATTATTCTTATTGTTTTGGCATAATTTTTCAGGGCACTGTTATTATTATTGCTAATCACGGTGATCGTATTGATATACCTGCTGGTGCTATTTTGGAAAATAAAATTGTTTCGGGCAACATGCGTATTTTGGATCATTAATCCTGTTCTGATTTTAATTTTTCGTTTAAATTTTCAATTTTGTTAAAATTTTTTTTCAATAAGTTTATAGTGAAAAATTTTATGTCTAAATAATAAAGTATTTTGTTATAAAAGTCTTAATTATTTAAAATAATTATGTACAAGTTCAAATATTTCACCAGAAAGTTCCTCTACATACAACTTTTACAACATAACAGAAACTATTATTCAATGAAGGCACAGGTAAGTAAAGAATACTTGGTGTGCAACAAGCGCTTCGCCGACAAATTCCAAAAAACGTGCAAAAAAGACGAGCGAAGGTAAAATGATTGAAAATACTTCTCTATGCGAAAATCGAAGAGCTGTGTGGCGTTTGCACACTTTATAAAATCATTTCTATATCCACTTTCAGCCTATTTTTGCTAAAAGATCGAGCGAAGCCAACTTCACTAAGAAGGCTCTTATCTAGGGATTTTCTTTTTTTTAATAATTTTTCGAATATATTTACAATTTCTAAATATACTTACTAAGCTTGCGGGCACATATTGAAAATGGTTCTGACCGCCTCTACATCTGGTAAATATGCGATCTTTACTTCGCGACCTACGACCTACTAATTTATTCATTGCGCACTTGCTGCTTCAAGTTGCATTTCGTTTTCCGCCACCAGTAATTCTGCCTAGAGGTTTCTCTTCTGGACTATGCAACGGGCTTTGAAGTTGTGAAAAGTCTGTCTATGTTTACAGAAAGCTTTAATAAGCACTTAGAGTTATTTGAGGATTTTGAAAAAATTTTTTTCATTAATTTATTTATATTCCTTCTAATTTATTCAGCTGAGGCGTAAAAGCCTCATAAGTAGAAGATTTTAATTAGTGAAGCGTTTAATGGGAGAATAAACTTTTTTATTATTACAAACTGATGGCTGAAGAATTCTTTGGTCGATAAGAATACAATTTGTTACTTACCAATGCTGCAAAAGACTGAAAGATTGAAATGTGGTTCATTTGGTCCGATGGCAAAAGATTAATGAACAGAGATAACCTCGTAAAAAATGCAGAAGTCAATATACCTCCGTTAATAAATGAACGTACCTGTATTTTGTTGACTACAGCTGGTCCGGTGATTGTTATGATTAGAAAACCTTATAATCGGCAAATTGCGATGATCGCTTGCGATGGTTAAACACATATCCTTGGTTTAGTACTCTCTCAATTTATTTACATTTATTTCTTTACATTTTTGAAAACATATAACTATAAGATAACTGAAATTTGCAAAAACATGTTTAAAATTTAACCATTCTTTTCGCGGTCACAATGCAATAAATACACCATAGGCGAGGAAATAACACCATTCCATTTTTTAATAAAATTCAAATTTAAAATATTCTTTTTACAAATCTCTATAATCAAAATATGCATCATCATTATATGTGGCCTTTTGCAATTTATCGACCAGCTAATGGACGCTCACGTGGTAAAAAACAGGCCGGCTCTCGGGAGATATAGCCATCGACACATTTCGCAAGCTAAAGATTATTTCCTTGGCTGCTTTTACTGGACGGACGTATGCGAATTTTATCGTGTTCAAGACAAACACTTTTTGGGCGAAATCTCTCTCTCAAACCGCTTTTTAGCGGGATCGTGGTTCACTGCGTTTTCACTCCAAGCTGACTTAATCATTTCTGCGGCTTGATAAATTACATCCATCTCTTTAAATTTTGATATACACTGAACGACAGCTGAAACTTCAACTACATGGTTCAAACATCAATACCAAGATTATTTACACCTGTTATTTCGGGACAATTGAACGCGTCAGATATGTTTTATGAAGCGATCAATTTCAGCGGAATGAATTTATTTTTACGCATAACATACACTCTCTTATTTGATACACTGCCTGCCTTAAATGACCACTATTCATAAAAAAAAAATCTGAAAAATGTAATAAATTTCTTTGAAGATATATGAAGAAATTTTGAAATATTTTTTAAAAATAAATAAATGGTTGAATACTACATATGGCTGGACTTTGAACTTATATTATAATATATATAAATGAACTTTGCTTATATTATCTATTCAGACTTCTTCCAATAGAAGCAAATAACACTTTTCGGAAATCTTGCTTACTTAGATTAGATTGCTCGCTACATTTATTGCTCGAGGGTTGGTAAGACTCTATAAATCTTCTTTAATCATGTGTTTACCTTACTGTGTATTTTTACATGGTTTTCATTAAAATGCAACAGAAAAAAAAAAAAACCTTACGAATGAATAAAATCCTTAAAAAAGTTTTTATTCAAAAAAATCGGTGCATAATATATTGCATGTATATATGTATCAAAATATTTTCCAACACTTCTTGCACTATTCCGGCAACGTGTCGACACCGTATCGAAAGAACGATGTTGGTTTGGTAGCGATCCAATCATGCACCCATGCTCGCACTTCAACTTTGCATAGCCGCGTGTCAGGCAAGCCCTGCTGCATCGACCAGAACAATTGGTAAAAAGAAGACGCCTTGCCCGGTGAATACGCTGGGCGTGTCAGAACTTCGCATTCGACCTGCAACATTGGCAACAATTGCAACAACTGGCCAAAATGACATTTTCAATTAATTCGTATGGTAGGCATTTTAACCGCTATTGCTAGTCTTTTTTGCAACAATACATCGTTCAATTTGTTCAGGTAACGTCAGCAGACATCAGCGGTAGTAGTTTCTTTCAGTTTCAGTAGTTAGTAATTTTTGCACAGCAAAGCTTTATGGCCATGAATATTCCACTTCGGTGTCGATGTGGATGGCTCTGTTGGATTAACCTATGACCATGAGTAGCAAATCCACTTTTTATCGCCAATCACAATACTCTACCAAACAACGCAACTGCCACGTTGAAACGACGCGGAAACGCGTTCCAAATTACATTTTCAGTCAATTTGCGAGCTAGCCCTTTCCCTATCTTTTAGACTTCCCCCATTGCATGTATACGTCTAAAATAGTTGATTGGTTAACTGCTAAGCTGTTCAAAAATTCTTCTTGAATTTAAGCGGGGTTTTCGGCCAATAAGACTTACAATTCGTTGTCTTCGAACTACATTATTCCTCCAGGCCGTTCTTTGCTATAGGCATCAAAATCACTACTTTTAAAGCGTCAAATTCAGAACCGCAATTGGAATATGATAGAATATCATTACCATAAGCTTCTGAACATGTTTGATGGGCTTCGGTAGCAGATTCCTTCAAATTAAACAAAAAAAGTAATGAAGGTCGAGAACACGCAATTTTGAGCGCTTCCATGATACGCGTCGGCCTACGCTGAATAAATTAATAATATTAAATGGAAACCTGTTATTTTATGTAGAAAAAGTTTAAAATCATCGGATTTTAGTCGTAATGTACACTGGTTTTTCGTATTTATTTATAATTTTAACCTGTAGAATTGGCCTATCCAAATACATGCAGCCATCCAATATTTATTGGCAAACATTTGTACAACTTGCTTAGGAGATCTAATTAAAAATATATGCTTGACGACAGTCAATGGCGAAATCGATTTATCTAATCTATTTTCTTGTTATCCTTCCGCTGAAATTACGGCTTTATTCACTAGGAAAGGATGAATTTTGCTTTTTCTGATATTAGCTCACGTCTAAGAATTAAAATAATTTGTCCATGAAGGACTACTATTAGCAAAGCGATGATAAGTTTACCTTTCTTTAAGAGTTCGTTTTTGAAGTCTTTTACACCAACGAACTGTGGGAATTGATTAAGTTTGCGTTTCTCTTTGTAAGATTCAAACCAACTGTTCGTAATCACCGTCCGTTATTCAACGCAAGCCAATATATTTCTATTTAAGTATATTGTTAACGAGTCGATAAACGTAACCTAAGAAAAATATTTTGAAATAATCTATACTTTCGTATCCTTAAAATAAAAGCTTTCTTGTTTATACCCACCAATTTGTCAGAATGTTTGCAACACTAAAAATGAAGCGTCAGAGATCCCATAAAGTATGCTTGATCAGCAACAAATTATGAATAAATTTGATCATATTCGTCTGTCTGTGCAGTCTTGGTGATAAACACGCGCTTGAAAGTTAGGATAAAAATAACGACTTTAAATTTGGCCAAAAAAATTTTGAAAGTTTTCGCACGCAGATTGATATTGAAAATGGGCCAAATCGATCAAAGGCCACACTCACTGTATAAAATAAGCGATTATAATTTTCTTACTTATTATTATCTATCCATAAACACATAAATATGGTATACAAAAGCGCTTAAAGAATCAAGGTGAACTTCTAATCAAACAGTTATCAAAAAACAAGAAAAAAAATAAATAAACCAATCGCACCAATGCATCTTTTCCACATAACTTTCAGACAGAACTCATTAATGTGTACAACGAATTTCACAGTGATATCTACTAAAAATTAAACATTTCAGATATTTTCGTTTAATGGGTGCAACTGCGAGCAGAGCATGCCCATTTTTAAATTAACTAAGAATTTATGTGCAGTTTCAAAATTCTATCCCAATTTTTGCGATTACGAGCGTTCCTACAGTTGATAATAGGAAGAGCGACAAACTGAGGGGATAGCATCGACTCAAAACTTTATAGTGATCAAATATATAACTTATGGAGTTTCTGATGCGTGGTACAAAGTGTTGCACATGCACTGACTATGTATCCAACATACTCGGCAACCTGGGCATTTTAAATTTTTCTATTCAAAAAATATTAAAAATTAAATTTATTTATGCAAAGCATAATTGTAATTGAATAAATGTGAGTTACAAAGAGCCAATAATTTGTAACTGAGATAAAATAAACAAAACTATAAGTTAAAATTACAAATAATTACATAAATAGCAATTAAAGAACGTAATAATAAATTGTAATTTAAAAAAAATTGTAGAATAATTAAGTTAAAAATTAATAGTACATAAAATTTTACAGACGGACAAGTTTAAATTGGACAAAATGCTACATATTTTCAATATATTCAACATTTAATATTACCATGATCATATTTTATGTTATACTAATTATATATATACGCGTAAATTATAATTTGGTTCTTGTTCAGTAAATTGATCCTCATATGTGTTTGCTGGTATAATATATAGATATATAAAATATATATATATATATATATATATATGATCATATGATCAGCACATATATATATATATATATCATTTCATATATCATATATATGTGTCATATCATTTATAGATATATAATAGTATATCGACAATATATATATATATATGATGATATTTAGGAAATTTTTTTGGTAAACTAATACAACAAACTGGATTTACAGTTTTCTTATCAATAAGCATATGAATGAGAGAATTAAAAAGGAAAATACTATTGATCTTCTATGAGTTTAGGTATCTTTGCGGAATCCAGGATAATCTGAGGCTTCCGACTCCTCGTCTCTTTCTACACCAATGCAATGTATACCGTTTCGCAACATAGGTGTGCCTTTGCCTTTACCAAGCACTCGAGCAGCTATAATAAGCTTTAGAACTTCTTTGGAATTATTAGAATTAACAATATGCAAAGTTTCGCGCAATAATTTCTCTTTGTAAGCGAAGAATTCAATTTTCATCTCATAAAAATCATGCTCATCATGCTTAAGACCAGAAAATTCTTTAATGCGGCAATGCAAATTAGGAACTGTTGTTATATCGGGCTGGAATTGATTCGGCGATGTACCAATGTTGCCAAATAGATTGCAAGGTAGTTTTAAGTCGATCGAATATCTATGATTGATTTGCAGAAAACCCAAACTGACGACAATTGTATCGCTTGAACGTTGATACGTTACGCAACTATCCGAGTCGAAATCATCTTTAAGGCTAGCCGTATCAAAGTGCACATGGTGATCTGAAATTCCACATATAAGGAAAAAAAGTAAAAAAAAGATCTTCTTAAATGCATTAAATACCTAAATTGCTTTTTTAAATATGAAAAGCAAAAAGACTATAGGAAAGCAAAATTATGCCTAACCTATGAATGATAAATCTAAAATCATATTATCCGTTTGAGCATCAAGCAGCGCGATCGCACTGTTCAGATTTCATGTCGAGAAATACCAGACAGTTTTGCAAAAACACTGTCGAAAAATCCCAAGCAGCGAGATCGCGCTGTTTAGGTTTGATGTCGAGAAATACCAACCAATGCCTGTGCACGTATGCTGCGTTCAATATGGAAAAAGAGTTTTCAAGATTTTTCGACCAAACTTGCTGTGTAATAGTAATTTGGCATTGCAAATTGGTATACGAAATTTCGTTCGGCTGCGACAGTTTTTTGAATCCCCTCTCATATAACCCTTCCTACGAAAAGTGAATTTTTATATGGTGTAATTTATAATATTTCATGGTGAAAGTTTGTCCATAATAAAAAGTAAATTAACAAAGAAATCAAATTTAGCGAATTAAGACTACGTCGATCTATTTTTTGGGATTTCATCGCATATGAGGATTATTAGGAAATGTAATCCTTCATATTCCAAAAAGGCCCAATTGTTAATACTTTATGTCGACAATCTGTTCATGGTAGTAATATGACATAAAAATTAAGCGGACCAAATATGGACCCCGCTTCATATAAAATTTCTTATGAATAATAAACCCTTTAGCAGGAAGGTTTAATTTGTAATAATTTGTGATGAAAATTGGTCCATAGTAGCAATTTAGAACAAAAATTAACGACAGGGAATTCGGATCACATTGTTCTATCTTTTAGACTCCAACATACACAGAGGTTATCACGAAAAGCAATCTCTTATACGGAAAGAAAGTGTATTTTCTATTTTTTTTATGACGATAACTGAAAAATAATAAGTTTTAGAAAGTAAGTAAATTTGCCAAATTTGAAGTGCATGATGTTTTGGGAAATGATTGTTTGATAAAATCACAATGCTTTCGCAAGATGTTGTTGCGTTTGATACGAATCTTCAGCGAGTAACTCCTACAATTCTTCATCTTCACATTTTTTAGAAGTTTAATTTCCGTCGGTATTGAAATCCCGTCGAATGTGTTACGAGTTTTTATAGATGAAATAGAATCGTTTACAACATCTAATGGCTTTTAGCAATACTTTTGCTTTTTTTGTTTTTTTTTTTTTTTAAATCAGTGCTTGAATTTTAGTGACATAACTTCTCTCTTGGAATCATTTTTCACAGAGACGCATAAAAATTTTTTACACCTTATGTGTAACTTCGAAAAAATATGATATGTCAGTACCTTCCCCAAGGCATATGTATAAATCCATAACAAAAACAACTTACAGACAACGTAATATTTAAAAATTATCATGTATTGTATAACCGAAAGAAATAAAAGATTAATATAATAGCTGATGAGCAAAAGCTGAGAAAAGCAAACGAGCAAAAAGAATAAATAAACGAATAAATAGGTAAATAGGTGACCGTAAGTAAAGCATATACTCTGTACGCTTAGAATATTGAAACGACAAAAATGAATCCTCAGAGAACGTACTGTACTGGTTATGTTGTAATGCCAAGTAATATTTAACCAAAATATCTTGAAAAGAATACCAATATATATGGGTTTCAATGTAAACAAATATATTTTATAATGCGACACACTGTGTGTGCTTCAAAAAGAAAGTCAATAAACAAATGAAAGCATTATAGGCGAGCCAAATCGACCTTTAAATATCCTACATCGCTTCGTCTAATTCTATTATTCATTGATTGTCGAATAGATTTCGTTATATGTCAACGCATAATCTTCATGAAAACGGTTGAGTTGAAGGATGTCCAAGTCGACAACTGACATGATTCAAATCTAGCAAATTTGATTTCCTTTTTAAAGGTTTTATTGTTCCTCATCTATTTTTATCATGAAAAGTTAAAAATTACGTATTGTCGTCAGATAAGGCCTACTTTTAATGAGAACCTGTACCGGATAATAAGCTGGGTTCCAAAATATCGACTTACTTGATCTAAAGTTGATATAGTCACGTTCTACACCGAATGATTGCTATGCCTATTACGTTTCATCATAAAATAATAAAAATTGGACTTTTTAGCATATCAGCACCTATTTTTCATAAGAAATCCAATGAATAAGTCCAAGAAATCGGTATACATGGCTCAAACCCGGCAATGTTAATTTTCACGTCAAATTACACAAACTCAGTATATCTTGTACAACAAGTGGTGTAGGATGTAATGATATATGTTTTCATAACGTCACCGAATTCAATACGAATAACAGAAGATATATCAGGCTTGGACGTGAAAACAAATACGGTTTTGTTTGTCGCTCTCACTTATTTTGTACTCATCACTAACCATTCATATAATTGCTGTTGGGTGAATCATTATGTCTTAGAATCTATTTTAGAATTTATCAAGGAACCGTTCAAATTTTATTTCAACTGTTCAATTTCTCGTATTGCGTCTATCTTCCAGTCCACAGATGTATTTAATGCAAAAACAATTCTTCATGAAAATCTTACTCATAAAATTCTTACATACGCAATAACAAAATTTGAATTCAAACGGACAAGGAGATGATGAAAATCACCTCTATTCGGAATTCCGAGCTTGAATCCATTATAATTCGATGTCAAATCTTTAGGTTTTAAGTTGGTTGTAAGGTTTAGTTAAGATTCTAACACCGAATTTAACGGATTCATACAGCTCAAAAATGAAGGAATAACAAAAGAGCCGTGGAGAGTTTTCGTCACGATTCGAGAAAAGTTTTAGATAGAAAATCAATATCATTTATTTAGTACATGATGAACGCGCCACTTATACGCATACATTCGTGCCACTTTTATTTGTGCTATGATCACTGCAATTCCCCAAACTTAATCGATAATCGCTACAGTCGATTCAAGAGCCTAAACATATGCTAAATTTCAAATTCCTGCATAAATTTTTACAAGCTTTTGAATTTATATCCAAATTATCACCTTGACAAGCCTCAAGTGTACAATTCAAAACTTTGCTTACACCTATTACACTTTTTAAAAGTATGCCACCTTGCAGCAATATATTGCAAATCGAGTTTTGTATATGCTATAAGACAATAATACTATAATGAAGTGACTTTAGTTAGCTATATATGCAATAATATCATATATATTTGATAAAAAACATATAAAGATTTCAAAATATTTTTATTAAAAAACAAAGCGTGTAGGCTTTCATGAATTGATTCAGTATAAAACAATGAAAATTCTTTCATGTTTTCCAAAACACAAGCAAACTAGGCTTTTTAAAAGTATTAGAAAACTCCATTGAATCGTAATATTTAACTTTAAGTGCCCACAACTATTTCAAATATGCATCTTAAACGAAATTTGCAAAAATTTGCGCTGCATATAAACTTTCATTTCCCCTCGCTTTGTCTACTGGATAAAATTTTCTTTTAATTACCCTTAATCGATTAGAATATGTGAAAACTACATACAAACATTTTTGTGTTTTCCTCCATATTTATGCTACGGCATATAAAAGGATAGTCGGCTTGAAACGTAATTGTATACTGTTTTGGCCTAATGGGCTTGTACCGTGTTTTTTTTTTTTTTTTAATAAAATAAAAGCTTTACCTTAAATGAAATTATAAGATTAACAAACAGAAAATATGTTTAGTTTTCACCCTCATACCTCCGGACTGATCAATAGTTGTTCCTTGCGACATTTCTTCAATATAATGAAAAAGTGAAAATATTTGCCAAAACGGTGTTTAGCTTATGTGTAAGTTCACTTATTGTTTAAATAAGGTTTGAAAATTGATTAGTTAGTTTTTCTTGTAGGTGTGTTAATCAAATTAAAAAAGACAACCACAGCATCCGCGCCAAAATTGCCGAAGTAATTTTCGAAAGGAACGTTTTTCGAAGCAGATCAATCTGATAACAGCAATTAAAGAATATTATGATTTTTCTACTAATTGACTGCTTCCCAAACTGGGTAAGAATTAAATATGGCAAGCCGACTACATAAAGTTACTCCACTTTTTGTTTACACTTTTTTTTATCTTCAACACTTTTTTATCGCTTGTTTTTTATAGCTTTTGTGATCTTTGTAATGTATGGGCATTGTCATTATATTGATGTAAAAAAGTTACGGTTATTGGTGAGGCAACAGAAAGCGAATTATATTTTGCCAATCACTTCAAAAATGTTCACTTGTGTTGTATTTGCTTAGAATTTTATAAATTGCAAAATTTTGAAAACTTAGCGCAACTGACAAATAGTAAAGCAACCAAAATTAATATATTTCAATAACTAATTTGATTTGTTGAATTAGGGTTGCCAGTGTTTAAAATGACTATAATTCGACGAGTTCTCTTATTATTAGGAATTAAGGTTAAATGCACTAATATTAGAAAAATCATGTACGGTTTGTAAATTTGTAATTAAATGTCATTATGAAAAATAAATTCAAAAAACTGAAATATTTGTAAAATAATTAACGAAAAAGATTTAACGTTGCTCAATGCGTATATTTAAAACGATTTATGTAAGTTGTACACTTTTTAGAACTCTTTACATATCAAACGAATGAGAGTTGTTTAATGGCTGCATTCATATAGTATCATATAATTAACAAATTTTTACAACTATGATGATAATGGCCAACTAAATACAAAATGGTTGCCAGTTGGTGTACGAAGAAAACTGAATTCATTGTTTAGAAATGAAAACTTAGTGTTTAATTCATATAAAAATTCATAAAACACAAATTAAAATCACTAAAAACAAGTGCTTGTAAAATAATAATAAATATCGTAGATTTATTATAAATTCGTAAGTCATTGGAAATTTTTAAGTGCGAATAGAAAAACTGTGTGAGTGAGTAACACGAAAAAAGTGTATGTAATAAATGCAGAAGAAAATCTGAAGAGGTCAAAAATGTAAAATTTTTTGAATATAAATACCAGAGAAACGTGCTTACAAATTAAGTAAAAAAATAGTATGTATTATTAAATATCAACATAATTTCTTAAAAAAGAGCTTTCTTAGAATTGAGTTATGTGGTGAAGTCAACTAAACAGATCAGATAATTAGAGATAGAAGCGCTTAAAATCACGCACATATACCTACGCGTGTGTACCTAACTGCATACAACTACACGCACACAGAGGCACTTATGCATGAAAGGTAATGTGTGTATGAAATACACTTATGAATACGTGTTGTTTGTCGAACGTTCGGCCCGTTGTTTAGCTAGTTAGTTGATAGTAAATACGTTTGTGGTGGGTAGGTACACTTAGTTTAAAATGAAGATGAACTTTGTGTAGGACGAATCATAAACCAAAAACAGACAAATTGACTTTATAGTTCTTATGAACAATGTCGCTCACTAGGCTCACTGATAATACAGGACTTGCAATCATAGAGTGGGGAATTAACAATTCATAAAGTCTTACTGCGCACTTTGCATAGCTAAATTCGAGAGTAGAAGGAAAGTATACTTGAATAAAAAAGTAAAAAAAAAATGTAAAGAAGAAAGGAACATGATATTAAATGAAAAAATCCTGCTTAAGTAATTGATTTGTCGGCTATAAAACCGCAGCGCATCAAAACACAGCTACTCTAAATCGCCACCACCATAACCAAGAAGACAAAAATTAACGATGGCAATACCTACCCTCTGATCCATCCTCCTTTATTGATTCGTTTATATGCACATAAGAGAGGATTCTGCCACTTTCGGACATATGTCACACGCTGCACTCATCTAATCGAATGGTTATGAATGAGATGTAATGAAAATGTTTTGCATTTTAATTTTTTAGTAAGGGTATAATATTTTTATTTCGTATGTAAAAACATTCCCAAAAAACTTGGGCGTAGGTTTAAATAGAGCAATTTCATACTTTGTCTTCTCCCTTATTTGAAGATAAAAGGAACATGAACGTGCACTTCATTGTAAGCGACAGTAAGCAATCAATAATTTAATGAGTACCTTATAAAAAATGGTTTTAAATAATATAGTTAATTTTATGAAGGATTTGGTATACAGTTTCTCAAAATTGCCTTGATTAAAATTTTCAAAATATACTTAGAATTAAAAGAATTACTATCATCGAATAGTTGCTTTCACGAATTTAACGGATCAATGCAGGAATTTTTGAATGTATTGTAATTTATTGATTGTATTTTAACAAACATTCATTTAATTGACTGCACACTATGTTCTACGGAATATAAAATGCTTACACAAAAGACTGACTGATTGCTTAAATTATACAATGTATGTTCGCTAATCGCTTTCGCCGAGTAGTGGTTACTGTTAACGAATTGCTATTAGACATTGGAGAATTATATAGTATAATTTTTTAAACTGATTCTATCTCCTAGGTGTTTCTCAGGCCAAAGGAGAATTTTCTTAAAAAGCCACACTGTAGCAACTATAACAAACAGATCATTAAATTGAAAGCAGAACTTCTTTTCTTCCTTCCTCTAATATATATGGTAAGTTTTTGGATTATTCTTTAAGCTATAACTCATTTCATGTGCTTGTTCGTACACACATTTTTTCAACGGACAAGTCAAAAGCCCGAACGTTTTTTGAAGGGAAATGACTCTATTTTTGAGAATCACTTATCGTACAAACACAAAACTTTCAAAGTTTATACGCTGTACCGTAGAACAAACGTGTGGTTTGTGGTTTGTGCAACGTAAAAGGTCGCAGCGGGAACACCATAAAGTAGAAGATTGAAATCTCAAAATTGATCAAATTTAGGTAAAAAAGAAACAAAATCATACTGTAGGCAAAATTTCACATTTTAACGAATTTAAAGTATACAATTTTCCTGATCGACCTATACATAGTTCACAAAAAATGTGTTCAAGTCAGCTGAGCGGCGTTTAGAGTTCGTGGTATCTGCTTTCCTTTTTTGTTTTTCGCGTTCTGTTTCTTTGCCCCTCACTCTATTTGTCTGCCCGTACACCTTCATCACTTAGAATCATTTAGAGTCTTTTAACTTTTTTTTTTTCTTTGTTTTGTTGCATTTTTATCTGCTTTGTTATGGTTAACTGTTGTTTAGTTTAGTGAATTAAATTGTTCTTTAATTAATTACGGGTTCTTTTCTCGTTCCCGCTTTATCGCGTTTCCTTCTTTGAATTGGTTTAAACGAAAAGAAAAAAACTAACTGAACAAATAAACAAAAAGGGCAATATTTTCATCATTATTTATGTTTCTTCTTCTTTCTTCTTCTTTCGGTTTTTTTTCTTAGTTAAATATTTTCGCTTAGTCTTTGCAATGGGGAAAGTTATGTGAATAATTTGGGATTATTGAAAATATTTACAATTTGATGCGTGACATATTCTAAAGATATTTTTGGGTACTACGTTCACAGTTGCGTAGCTGCTTATCTGGACGAATTTTTCATAATATGTTTTAAATTGATTTTAATTCGAATATAATTAATTTTCTTTAATCCTGATTTACTTAAATAGCAGCATTTACACGCATTTATTGTGCTCACCACTGAAAAATCAGTGTGTGATAACTCCGCCATTGCGCCATTGCGCCATTGAGGTATCGCGTGCCATTACTACTATATTCCAGATTGACTTCTATATTTATACATCTGTAGACTGCTATTGCAGTGCTCAAAACTCACAAAGGTTAAGATAAAACATTATAGTTTGTTTCTTACCGCAATTTTTAAGGTCACATTTAAAAGTGACTGTCGTGGAGTTGAAAGATTGGCACAAAAGCTAAGAAGTTGAAAAGAATTTTGAGGATGCAAATTTACTTCGGTGCTCTGAAAATACTCTTGGTGTAATTTAATCCAAATTTGCAGTCACTACTACAACTGAGACAATAAATTTAACAGCCTTCAATTGGTTGCCCATGCAATAAACTCATTAAAAATTTGTTGTAATTAATCTCTTTAAACAAGGAAAAGGAAAAAATTATTATGAAAAGAGATTGTGTATTAAGAAGCAATATAAACAATTAGTTTAATAAGATTTACAAACTAATAACATTAAAAGAAAAAAATGTTTTAATGATTATATGTAAGTGATTGCATTGTATTTGTAATATTTAGATATATATATATGCATGCACACAGAAGAAAACAATTTTTAGACAAAATAAATTTATCAGGGTGACAATGATTGAATTTGAAATGTAAACTTAATTTACAAACTATAAAGCGAGACTATAACCATCGGTTGGCTATAGAGCGGACTTTGGTGTGCATCACTCACAAGTACATCGAGTTTTCATTAACATCATTTCTTCAATATCGTATAGGTATATTTTAGAGACAATCTAAAGAAAACAAGTCTTTTTGATCCTAATTAAAAATCCAAGATTAAAATAGTGTACGTGATTAGCTTGAAATACTTTAGAAAGCTTACGCAGGCAAAAAACAGTTGAAAAATATCAATGTATTTCCACGATTAACTCTTGTACTTGCAACAGATATCGATCTGTAGGTTAATAATGTTTGCATTTATGGAAATCAAATAAAACAAGTAAAAAAATTAAATACGGGGGGGACAGAATCTTTTATACCTATTATCCTTTACCCCCCAAAAAAGCAAAAGAAGTAAAGCAACAAAATTCTCATGCTCTGTCATACGAAGTGAAAATTGATTTCTTCTATTTCCAAAATAAAAGTTTCTGCCGTAGAGGCATGTGGGCGTTGTAGGCGTGTCCTTGAGAAAGTTTAAGCCAATTCCAAATTCTTTTGCCAATTTTTAGGCGATATCTTCATTTTCGCTAACGGGAGAATGTTTACCACAAATTTTACAAAGTTGCGCAGACCGATGGACAGACGAACAGACGAACATGTTTAGGGGCGGTCAAGATTTAAAACCGGCCAAGAATTTGCAAACTTTGTGGAGTTTTCGCAGCTTATTTCTGCGCGTGACAAAGGTATTGAAAAAATAGTTAAACTTTGATACACTATAATAACGGATAGGTATGTTCAATTATTTCCGTTCTTGTGCACAAATGCTATAGAATACGCGTTCGAATTTGTGTACCTTTAATTGCTATAGCCTGTGAGTAATAAGCAAAAACATAATTTTTTATTCCTTTTGAAAAATAGGGGTATTCTCAGTTTACGGTGCTGTGGGCGTGTCCTTCAACCAATTTCAAGGGACGGACGTATATGCTTAAATCGATTTAGGCTTTGATGCTGATCAAGAATATATGTACTTTGCGGTCTCTCTGATGCTTCCTTCTGGGCGTTGCAAACGTTTTGACAAAATGAATATACCCCTCATGTTTCGCTGATGGGTATAAAAATTAAAAAAAAGCAAATAACCCTATTAACATAAGTGGATGAAAGCAGTTTATAAAATCAAGTACCAATACCTATAAGAGTTATATTATACGTGAAAATGGTATGTAAACACTTTGCATAGGATCACAGCAAATGTTTACATAGAGATGAAAAATTAACTATCGATAAGAGACAAAAGTTCGTCTTGTAAATTACATTGTAACGTGATCAACATGTCACCGCGATCATGGCTGTTTGACAGACCCTTGCATTCTAATCTTCCATTCCTTTTATAAATATTTGGAGTATAGCATTTCAATTAAAAAAATGTCCAATTTATCTCCTTTCTTTCTACGACATAATACTTCTTGCGAGTATCTTTTTCGCGTACTGATTTCAGCGCATTCTGAAATAGGCAAAAATGATATAAAAACACGATTATGAAAAGAAGCGATTTTGAATGATCCAGTAAGTGGTTTTTTCCAATACAGCTGTTAGTAGGGTCGCCATGTAAGTGACCTGGACAATTTGACGAAAATGCTCTTGCACTCAAAGAAGCATTCCAAGTCAATGTATGAATTGCATTCAGTGCAATATAAATTCAGAACACCTTTGCGCTCTTTGAGTCCTCAAATTAGGCACACTATAAGCATTTTCACATGTATTTTGCAAAAATTGAAAAAATCAGTCACTCGCTCATCCAACATTATAAAATGTAGACGATTGATATTTTACATAAACGGTGTTGGGGTATAAAATATTCGGTCACGCTGAACTTTTACTTGTTTAAATATGAATGTGGAAAACTGACACTATTTTTTTGGTGTATACATGTATGGGGTATTACCATTTGCTATCTATAAACAATTGTTTTCTTAAAAAATAAAAAGTGTATAAGGTTTCGATTCTTACTATTCATTCGTATGTATTCGTATTTCAAAAATTCCGTAACCAGAAGAAGCGTGTCATTAAATGAACCTACAAAGAAAACAGCTTTTGTTACATGCTTGTTTTAAAATAACATTCAACCAGCTGCTTTGGCATATACCTGGAACGAAACTTTCCTTAGAGTAGATGACGTTTATATAGAATATACAGTGGATCTGAATTTAGCACATTTAGTACATGTGTCTTTATAACGCGAATATTTGTTTAGGTTTTTATTTTTTAGTCGGTGTTCTTTTTTTCCAAGTTATGTATGATCTGAAGTTTAGGCAAAATTACTTTTCTTTGCTTGTATTGATGCACTTGGAGGTTCCTTCTTCATATAGGGCAATTAACACGGAAAAAAGTCTGGACATAAGCACAATTAAAAACCTAAAAAAATAACAACTTTATAAACTAAACATTTAACATTTTGCTGGATACCCTTTGTTTTTAATAACAGCTGCTCATCTGCTCATCTGCTCATCTTCTGGGCATACTGTTTACCAGAGACATATAACGCATCAATGAAATGGCGTAGCAGGCCTTTTGGATTTCCGTCCACAAATCGCACAGATTTTTTTTCTCGATAGGAGTGAGATCTGGTGATTGAGCTCGCCATTTCAAGAAATCTATCCTGTTCTGTTTCAAGCAACACTTCATTATGTGTGAAGTACGTTTTGGATCGTTGTCATGCACAAAACGCCACTGAGTGACATGTTTTTCTCTGCATATGGTATCATTGTGTCTACAAGTAGATTTTTACAAATATATTGATTCATTAGTGCATCAATTTTATGTTTGTGACCAACACCGTGCCCAGAAAATGCTGGCTAACCCATCACTGCGTGCTGCATATTTGGACGAAGCACGTAAATATCGCTTACCGTCTGGTTTGAACTGATATAACCTCGATTCGTCACTCCAAAGAATATTTTTCCAAAAGGTGCTGGGTTTATATAAATGCTAATGGCCAAATAAAATTCGGAACTGCAAATTCATCTTCCATACACGTGGCTTATGTTGCATAATGCGTCCACACAAATTCTTTTCATTAAATCCTCTTCTTATCTTTGTGGAGGAGACTTCAATGCCACATTTTGTCGAAACATATCTTTGAATCATCGTTGAACTTTTAAATGGGTCACATACAGGCGCTTTATAAATTAAAGAGTCCTCATTACGGGTTGTTTTTCTAAATCTAGAACATTGTGCGACGTTTTTCGCTGAATAACCTGACGCTGCGCTTCTGTGCACCATTTTTCTTTGCCCATGCTGAACTTTTACTTGTTTAAATATTGA